TAGCCCAGGGCCAGAGAGAGTTTTCAGATAACTGTAGTCCCCAGCCACTGAGCCAACTCAAGCCTTTGTGATGTCTGAGAGGAAACCTCCAGATATGAAGCAGAGGCAAGCCATTCGAGCTTTGTCCTTTATCAAACTCTGGTACATAAAATCATGACCAAAATTAAAAGATGGCTTAAGGCTGCTAAGTTTGGGATAATTTGTTACACAACAATAATAACCAGAATAGTCCTTATTCTGTTCACTACAATGGCTATGCAAAATCTCCTCCACTGTTCTGCAAGACTAATATGCCCTCCATCTTTAAAAGACTGGCTATCTCCAAAACCACTCACTTAAATCCTCTCTTGCTGGCCTTCCAACTTCTCCCCAGAGATATGCTTGAATACCCCACTGTGAAATTGTTTTTCCTTATCTGTATCTGACCCCATTCCCTGCAAGCTAAATTTCACCAAAGAATCTGCCTTGCTGGCTTGGTGCCTGTAGCTCAAGCAGCTAAGGCGCCAGCCATATATACCAGAGCTGGCGGGTTCGAATCCAGCCACGGCCTGCCAAGCAACAGTGACAACTCCAACCAAAAAATAGCTGGTTGTTGTGGTGGGCACCTGTAGTCCCAGCTACTTGGGAGGCTGAGGCCAAGAGAATCGCTTAAGCCCAGAAAGTTGGAAGTTGCTGTGAGCCATGATGCCACGGAACTCTACCCAGGGTGACAGCTTGAGGCTCTGTCTCAAAAAAAACCCCCAAACTCTGCCTTGCTAGTACATCCTCCCCTTGACATCTGCATGACCCATCACTGACCCCTATTACAGGTTGCTATAGACCTGACCATCCCCACAGGCAGTTCATGGGCCTCTCAACCTTGATCTTACACAAACTGTGGCTTAACTGAATGCTGCTATTATTAAATCCTTCCTACTTGAAACTGCTCCATTTATGCCTCCCATCATGTAGTCTTGGAAATAATATCACCATCTCAGTATATCACCAATGTAGGCAAGCTTATGTCGGGAAGAACTTTGGTCTGCGTGTCTAAAAAAGACATTCATATTCAAAGATTCATGGTGAACATGTGTAGTGAATGGAGGTTCAGGGGCTATTGGGAGGATCAATAAAAGGCATAAAATAGGTAAAACTATCTTTAATTATAATGGAATTACTTACATAGGCAAGTAAGTCACAAGGAAAAAATAAAGAACAAAGTGTAATCAAGATACAACTGTTGGCAGGAACACTGTAATGCAGCCACTTAGGACAAGAGTCTGGTAGGTACTGAATAAGCTAGGCACGGAGTTACCATGGGACCCAACAAGTCCATCCTAGATACACAGCAAAAGAAATGAAAACAAATGCTCACAGCAGCATTTTCCTAATAGCCAAAAGCTGGAAAGCACCTAACTGATGAATAAACAAAACATGATATATCCAGATAATGAAATACCATTGAGCATGAAAAGAAGAACTGATACATGGTACAAGAATGAAACTTGAAAACAAGCTAAGTCAAAGAAGTCAGACTCAAAAAGCCACATACTGTATGATTCACTTCTTTACATGACATGTCCAGAATAGATGAAGACGAAAAGTAGACTAGCGGTTGCCAGAGGCTTGGGGAAGGAAAAACGGGGACTGACTGCTAAAGGACATATGCTTCCTTTGAGGGGGTGAGGAACATGTTCTGGAATTAGACAGTGGTGACAGTTCTGTGAATATACTGAGAATCACTGAACTGTACCCTTTAAAATGGAAAATGTTATATATTTGAATTATACTTCAATTTTTAAAAATATATGAGAAAAACAGCATGTTTTTAATTACTATTTCCTAGTGAGATAAAATAGACCCCCCCCCAAAAGTCCTCCAAAATCTGAAAATTTACATCATGTCATTCTTTCCAATTCCAGGTTCAAATAGGATCCAATATAAAAAAAGGAATATAAGTATAAAAAGAGGAAAATCTTCTCAATTCTAACCAATCCATAATATCAATGCTAAG